GTCATGCATCCACAGACGCATCTTGAGCAGGTCCAAGGAAGTGATCCTCCCCCTCTATGCAACACTGGTCAGGCCACAGTTGAAGTACTGCGTCCAGTTCTGAGTGCTGCACTTCAGGAGGGATGTGGACAGCATGGAGACGGTCCAGAGGAGGCCACCCGCATGATCAGGGGGCAGCAGGGCAGGGTCTACGAGCGGAGGCTGCAGGACCTGAACCTGTTCAGCCTCCACAAGGGAAGGCTGAGGGGGGATCTGGTGGTGCTTGCTTCTACCCTGGGGGTTTTGAAAGGAGGGTGGATAATCACCTGGCTGGGGTTGTTTGACCCCAGTACTCTTTCCTGCCCATGGCAGGGGGTCGGACTTGAAGATCTACTTAGGTCCCTTCCGACCCTACCAACTATGAAACTACCTAAAGGGTGTTTCCAAAGAGGATGGAGCTGGACTGTTCTTAGCGGTGATAGATGACAGAACAAAGAGCAATGGGCTGAAGTTCCAGCAAGGGAAGTTTTAGGTTCTATATTAGGGAAAACTCTCTCACTAGGACGGTAGTAAAGCACTGAAACAGGCTACCCAGAGAGGTTGTGGAATCTACATCCTTGGAGATTTTTAAAACCCAGCTAGACCAAGCCTTGGCTGGGATTATCTAGTTGGGGCTGGTCCTGCTTTGAGCAGAGGGTTGGACTAGATGCAACCTCTCGAGGTCTCTTCCAGCTCTAATGCTCTATGATTATATGATCTCATGACATCTGTAGACAGGAATCTCAGGAAAAGATGCTAGAGGGCTGATTTCAGAGCACTGAGCCACTTTTTATCCTCTTCCTCAAACAAAGGCTTACAGCATTACTTGATAGAAACTTTGACAAACATGGTTAGAGATTTTTTGTGGCATCCTGTTGGTCAGCTAGAACGGTGACCTGAACCCTTAACCAAGACTTGATATTTTAAGGCTGGCTAGTCTTTTCAAGGTACTTCTCTCACCTGTGACTCAGTTCCTTTTACACTACTTCCCTTAGCCTCATGTATGCTAACATGGTCTAACTTAAAAATTAACACAGCTTAAAAGCTTGCTAAAGCTACTGGCAGGCAAGGTTTCCTGAGTAGATGTGATATCTTCTATTAGACCAACTGAGTAGTCAGAAAAAGTTATTGGCGCGTTTCAGGTGCAGTCACCCTGCTTCAGGCATAGGGAGTTTCTGCTGGTCTGATACTCCAAGGAATGAGAGAAGTTAAAAGTGTGACAGGATGGAGTGAGCAGCAGTGAGAATGTAAATAGGCAGAAATTAGAAAGACAAAAGGTAAAAGCAGGTAAGGGAGGGAGAAGAAAGCAGCGGGGGAAAAAGGCCAAAGGGTGACATTGCAGTGATAGAATACAAAGTAGAAAAGAGACTGTTTGTGAGAAAAAAAATAGTACGAGATCAGGAAAACAGGAATGAGAAATGCTAAAAATGTGCCAGAATATAAGTGAAAATACAAATAGGTAGAAATTAGAAAAACAAAAGGTAAAGCAGGGAAGGGAGGGGAAAGAAAGCAGGGGGAAGAGGGAAACACTGCAGTGTCAATACAATACAAGGTAAAAAGGAGACTGTCAATGAAAAAGGAAATAGTTGGAAATCAGGAAGACAAAGGGCAGGAGAGGAGGGAAGGGGAGAAAAGGTGGGGGAAAAGAAGAAAGTAAGAGGTCCAACGGGGCTACAACGAAAAACCCAGTAACCTGGAAGATGCTAAAGCTACTATAATGCAAGCGAAACAGTTTCTAGCTCAACACAAAGGTCTACAGACAGTTCCCATGGAGCAGCTGGTATAAGCTCACACCCTAGCTTACTTTTGTGGTGTGTTCAGACCCTGAAAGATTGCAAAAAAATCCAAGGAAGCAGATTAGTATCAGATGTCTGCTAATGAAGGACCTGGGTGCTGTAGGGATGAGGTGTAGCGAAGGAGACTTTCATCTATAGAAGCCCTCCTTCCTTTGTTGCAGAATTTGTCAGGTTTATAGCAAACAAAGCAAGGCATGCCACGCTGAAAACCTGGTTCTAGCCCTGCCTTGACCATAGAGGACTGATATGATGTTAGTCTTGTAAAAGTGTAAATGAATTCTTCCATAGGTAGTTGCCAATTGTATGCTGTTCCTGTCTGGGTCCCCGCCCTCAGACAATGGG